TTCTTTCTATTCACATGCTCAAAGCTACGGCAGAAAGTTCTGGTTGTTCGTCCATTTCTGGACTGTAATCTTGTTCCAGAACTTGAGTTTTGCATACATTTCTGCTTTACAGATAATGTGTATTTGTGTGCAGACTGTTGGTTCCTCACCTTTCAGGAAGATGCACTCCGACTTCGAAGAAACCACCCTTAATCAGTCGCCTCCTGTGACAGGCTTGTTAGGGGTCAGTGGGCCTATCTCTTTCCCTCACCCCTCCCCCACCCATCCATTACAATAGGCCCCGGAAACTACAGGGCAAATAAAGGAGCTCAACAGAGACATATGGGTACAGAAATAGTCAAACCAATAAATCAGGCACAAATGGGTAATATAACATCTGCCAGCGTCAGAAGGCAGAAAGAATATCATATTCTCTTTGGAACGTAAAACAAATGTATGTTAAGTGTGTGGTAGTGGAAAAGTTTTTTTATGCAGTGACGGAAGCTGACCTAGAAACATGAATAAATACACATATACTAATTGACATTCGCAGAAGAAGAAAGAGTGAAATCACATTACATTTTACCTTGTCTAGTGTGTTTATGGAGAAAAAAATAAACAGGGGTCTATGACATCTTGCAATTTTTTTCGCATCTTTAGCAGTAACTTTTATGAAATGCTTATTAGGGGCGGTGGGTCTATTCCCCCTTCCATCACCCAGATTGGGGCCTTGAAACCCACACAAAGAAGAAATAAGAATGATGCAGTGTTATGCATTAACAAATAATTTTGGATGAATCAGATAGAGAAATTTCACTTGCAACTTCAAAGTAATGGTAATTAAATAAATGGCAATGTAAGCATTTCGACTGAGTGAATGTTAAGATAGGATAGGGTAACAGGGGTTATGAATAATAGTGTTTATAGACCAATCAACCTTTAAAGAGTGATAGGTCAAAATCACTAGCCACCTCTACTTTCCAGGACATTACCTTGTACCCATTATATGATAGGTTGACCTAGCAGCAAATATATTTTTTTTAAATGTATTATTACTATGAAAAAAATGACTTCTTAATGAGCTGGATGTAGTTTGATCAACAACCAGAACTTTCCATTGGAGTTTACAACCAGTGTGTGCGAAAAAGAAAAAGACTGTAATGGTAATAGTCTTGCTCTATCTCTTTGCAGAGAGCTTGATTACCAACCAAGAAAGCCACATGATGCAAAAGGTTTGGTAGATCCAGTGACAACTCCCAAGGGTCGCCTAAACACCTAGACTTAAAAAATGAAGGATGGCGTCCTAAACTCAACCACTACCTCATAACACAAAGCAAACTGCACAACCATTTTGCCATAAAGATATAATATGGGCAGTACATCAACTGAGCTGCCAGGAATGTCAAAAGACTTGATGTCAGCTGGATGATGGCCTATGCTCCAAAGGGGTATAAATGACAGAAGAGAAAGAAAAAGAAAAACTGGTGCCATCTTCTCAACAGAGGTTGGCTGCCAAGTATCCACAGTTAACTATGGGAATATTATGTGGTGAGGCCCCAGTCTTTTCCATAGTGTGACTCTTGCAACTTTGTCTGCAAGCCACAAGGATGGTCTTTTTCTAAAATGCCAGTAAACACTTAGTATTGCATTGTGAAATGATTGAACTAACCTCAAAGCCAGAGAGTGATACAGTAGAATGAGAAAAAGCATTATAAAGATACCTATTCACAGTAACACTAATACAGAACAATGTATTGTGTTTTTTTTTTTTAATGATAGTCACATTAAGGCTATCCTGACTTAAAACTGTGTAGACATGTCTTTTTATGCACAGCTGTGTGACATGAATGAACACAAGAAAGGTGAAGAAATAAGAGAAATTCCCAGACAAATATTAGTATCAACAGTTGTAAGACAAAGAAGATGGGGCTGTATTGGTCACATCCCGAGAAGAAGGGATCAGAGAATCACCTAACAGGCACTGGTTAGTTGTGTATCCTTTACAGGACATTGCAGAACCAACCTCAGCAGCCCCTGGCTGTTGCGTGGTTTTTCTAGGCACATTTACATCCAGTAGTTTGCCACTGTTTTCTGGACAGTCGGCTTTCTCGATACCACTGTCAAAACCAACACAAGGTGCATGGCCTGCAGCTGGGATCGGACCCGGCATCCCTGCAATACGAAGCGTTCGCATCAACTTAGCCACAGAGCCGACAACAGGCACTGAAGTGGGAAGAAAATGAATTGAAGAAATTAGGTCAAGAAACTCTCAAATGAACAAAGTGGAGAGATACCAGAGGAGCTGGCTTGCATTCCATCCATTACATTAAATGGATTACACAAGACAGAATGAAACTAAGGAATACTTTAGGAGCCCTATCGGACATACAATAGCACTACATTGTATGATGATGTGTGACACTGAAGGTAAAACTTATAAGACAAAAATGTTTTTACAGTAAGCTTCAAAATTATTCTTTTACTGTTTTCATTAAATTATTAATACTGAATGCATCTAAATGCAATAATGAAAGCCTTTCTACAAAAAACTGATTTTAGAAAACCACCAGTTTTAATTTATTTAGTCCCAGAGAGTTGTAAAAAGGACCCCTTTTCATGCCTTCAGGAGTTCTTAGTATACAGGGCTAGACCAATTGACACTTGGCAGGTGATGTGGTCACCATCACGCCTGACCGCAGATATTTTATTATTTAACCTTATAAGTACCAATGAACATTCCATATATTTACCAGTAACTCCATTATACTTTTTTCTTTCCTGTGTGGGTTCCTGAAAAGAGTCCTTTACTTTTTTCTATATCAGTAAAAGTGTGCTTTTTATTTGTTCATTTAAACTAACTTTTTTTTACTCTTCTGGCACACAGTAATATTAATAACAATATTAAAACTATTTTCATTGTAATATCATTAAAAATTATGTAGAGTACACATTATTTATTTTGATGTTTAATGTAAATGTAATGTATACAGTATGCATGATATGTATGACTAACCATAACAAGTAATTGTTAACTTGACTATTAGCAAGGCTCATTTAAAATAATACAAAACGACTATTCCAGTATTACTGGAAAAATCAGTGATGTCTTTACAAAAAAAAGTGCTGGTAAAACATACTGTTGTGTACCACCATGGAATAAAAACAAGGTCCTAGCTATTAGTATTTGTTAATATTAGTGGTTCAACTAGTTAGACCAACATACATTTAACTCTTCACGTAACAAGACACTTTATCATGAATTTTTAGGACATTCTAACTAAAGTCAGAATACACATTTTTTCCCCGCATTTTCCTTAAACGGATGATTACTATATATGTTCACTGCATCTGAACTGCTCATGCCCAACCACACTGGTCTATGGGTTACTTGGTAACCCGTTTTGTGGTGCCCCAATGTAATTGTGCTATATAGCTATACAGTTGAACAGGGTTTTCCAGGATTTGTACCAGACCTGCAATCCTGAAGAGGCAATAGTTTGAAAAAAAAAAAAAAAATTTTTTATTGCTTCTTTAAAACCTTGTCTCATAATGCCTTCCGTGTCCCCTTGTGGGTTCCAGGGCCCCATTGGGGTGAAAAAAAAAAAAGAAATTACTCACTGCCTCCCCAACAAGCAAGTTGTAAAAGTCAACTAACTGGGGATTTCCTTTGAAGTCAGAAGATATCTGCCTTGAGAGGCGAGGAACCAACAGTCTGCATTAAAAAAAAGTCAGATCTATAAGAGGGAGGTGCACACAACACTCAGGTTCTGGAAGAAGTCTAAAGTCCAGAAGTGTATGAGCAACGAGAAGTTTTTGCCGGAGTTTACAGGTGGTGAACGCGAAGAAAAATTTTTCCTGTGTAGCGCACCTAAAAATGTAAAAGTAATATCTACAAGTTTACACCTCATGACAGAACGAGTAAAAGCAACAACTGACATACAGGAAAATGTTGGTTTATTGTGATGATACATAATTTTCTGTAGTTGGTAATCTCATTTATAAGCTAACAAAAATAAATATTACCAGAGTAATTATCTTATCAGATTAAATTAATTAAAATTTGCAACTTAGTAAATTGATGATTATAGTTGACTTCACTAATAATAATTAATACTAGAATAAAGTAAATGCACATAAAACCTAAAGTAATGAAATTTTGTAACTTTAGGTTACTTTAAATTATTATAGTTAGTTTACAAAATGGTAGCACTAGGGTCTCTACTACTTGTACTGCTACAAGAGTGGTCAAGAACTGGTGAAGGCAAAATGCACTTTGGGGGGGGGAAGGGGGGGGGGGGGGGGGAGGGTCTGCTGTATTTATTATATATTTAGTTTATTACTTTCTAGTAAACAGATGAGACGGATATACAATCAGACGGTTACTAGTACCATGGGAATTGGAACTCTTCCTTTGCTGCTGAAGGCGGGGACTGAGAATTTATGGGAGTTTCCAGAGTACTGTGATGTTGATTCTTAATTCAACATTTAGTCAACATAATTATAATAACATAAACCTATTTATAATACGAAGTTTTATAGTACATTAACAACAAACCAGTTTTATACTATACATATAAAATATGATATGTATATATATATATATATATATATATATATATATAAATATATATATATATATATATATTATTCCTTATACGTAAAGAGAAGTGTTTTTCAATGTTTGCTTAATTTAATGAAATGGAATTTCATAAATAGAAAAGTAAGCTGGTAAAGGTAAAGTAAAAATTTATTATAATATAATGGTGAAAAATGATTAAAATTATTAATATTATTATTATAATAAAAATTAAAATAGTATTATTTTTATATCAGTAAGTTACTATTAATTTGAAGAGGGAAAAAAGTAACTCGAAATGTTTTCCCAAATGTCCACAAAGATGTAACTTAAATAATTAAAATTACAAACACTACTACAAACATACCTGACCTTCTACAACAGCTGCGACTGTGAAGACAACAAAACGATGTGGTGGGTGACAACAGAGCAGAAACAAACCTACCAGGAAAGCGAATGTTCCGCTGCGCGATCACCTCACTGAACGACCATGACTTCTTCTTCAAGTTTCGGCGTTTTCCGGTGACAAGTTGTTCATCAAATTGCCGAATTTCTTCTTGGGTCGCTGCCAGGGGAAATCCATCATTCTCCACTGACGAAAAGAAAATGAAATTGCATGAAATAAAAATGCATTGGTATTGATACGCATTTCTATAAGTAAATAAAACAAACATAGATTAGAGAACACACTAGACAGTGTTATGTTATTTATGTTACACCCCTCCCTTTTCCCCGTCAGCTACCTTGGCTCCCAGGTCGACCCAGCCTTGAGTGTTTACAAGGTATAGCCTTGGAGGTAAAGGTGGCCTGTGTGGCGTTGACCACATCACCCACCGAGTGCCGAGTGGTCTATTAAGAAAACAGAGGTCTATGTCTATGTATCAAATACGCCTGAAGGCGTGGAAAAGGGTCCTTTACATTTTACATTGTCTCCTCATCTGCTAAAGTTATTCCTTTACAGATTACTAAAAATAAGTAATGTAAAGGACCCTTTCCAGACGTCTTTCAGGCGTATTGAGTATATAGGGCTAAGTCTATATTTTATAGACCAAACGGCACTTGGTGGGTGATGGGGTCAGCATTTCGCCGGCCGCCTTTACTTCCCAGGACTGCACCTGGTACCCACTCAAGACTGGATCACAACCTGGGAGTCAAGGGGATTTTCGAGAAAAAAAAAATCCAGCTCCCGTCAGAAACCAAACCCACGATCTTTGCGATCCGCAGGCGAGCGTCTAGCAGCTAGACCAAGGCGGCTTCTACCAACAATAAGATGATGATTTTTTAAGCTCCCCAAAATTGTGCTGCCCCGTGCAGCTGCACATGTTGCACAAAGGTCTAAATACTGCCCTTTATGTAATGTACACTAATTGTACATAATACGATTCGAATATGTACATATAAATGATCACATCTCCTTCCTTTGTGAACAAGTGCACTTCGGCTTTCTGCTGGTGCTACTACCGCTGCTGCTTCTTCTACTACTACTACCGCTGCTGCTGCTGCTACTACTACTACTACTACTACTACTACTACTACTACTACTACTACTACTACTACTACTACTACTACTACTACTACTACTACTACTACTACTACTACTAATAATAATAATAATAATAATAATAATAATAATAATAATAATAATAATAGTAATAATAAACCACTTTTATTACTGCTATTATTATTATTACCACTATTATACTACTACTATTATTTCTTGCGCTGGTTTCCACAGTAGTACTGTGAGCTGACAGTTCAGGGTAGTGGGTAACTACTGAACGTTTAATTTGCCTGGAAAAACCACAACAGCCAATAAATTCTGGGGTTGGATCTGCAACGTCCTGTAACTAACTTTAAGTAATATTATTACTATACTACTGCTACCACCACCACCATTACTACTACTACTACTACTACTACTACTACTACTACTACTACTACTACTACTACTACTAGTACTACTACTACTACTACTACTACTACTACTACTACTACTACTACTATTACTACTACTACTACTATTTTCTATCTAAATCCTCTTCATGTCGCTATTGACACATAAGGCATTCACAAGTAATCTCCATTGCTGCGAGTAGGCTGCTTTTTTGCCCATTGTACCCCATGGTATCCCATGTCAGTTTACATTCCTTCATTTCCCGTTCTTTTGTCCTTCTCCAGGTTTCCTTAGGTCGTCCACGTCTACTTTTACCATCTGCTGTCCACCGGAGAGCTGATTTTGCCAGTGTCACAAGGAAACTGTAAACATGTCCAAGCAATCTCCGTCGTCTTACTTTGATAACATTTGCCAGTGATGTACATTATGTTTTCCTCCTCAGTTCTTCATTTGTGATCTTGGTTGGCCAAAATATTCGTATAATTCTCCTTAAACATTGATTTTGAAAAGTCTCAAGTTTATAATTTCCGCTGTCATTTTCCAACATTTACTGTTGTATAATAGTATTCGTAAAATGTTGCTCTAGCATATTCTGAGTTTTGTCTTCAAATTAAATCATTTGACTTCTATATATTGTTAGGCATGGCAAATGCGTCATTTGCTTTGTTTATTCTTGACGTTGCTACTTCTATACTTCTACTATTTTTACTATACTACTATTACTACTACTACTACTACTACTACTACTACTACTACTACTACTACTACTACTACTACTACTACTACTACTACTACTACTACTACTACTGCTGCTGCTGCTGCTGCTGCTACTGCTACTTCTATACTAATATTACTACTATACTACTACAATTACTACTAATATGTCTACTACTATTTGAGCTACTAATCTACTACTATTACTACTATTATCACTACAGCATCACTACTACCATACTGTTACTATTATACTGCTACTATTATTACTACTATTACTATTACTACTACTATTACTACTACTATACTACTACTATTACTACTACTTTATTACTACTGTTACTACTATTATTACTTTTACTTGTAATAATACTGCTATACTACTACCATTACTACTATTTGTACTACTATTACTACAACTATCCTACTACCACTGATGCTGCTGTTGCTGCTGCCACTACTAATGCTGCTGCTACTACTACTACTACTACTACTACTACTACTACTACTACTACTACTACTACTACTACTACTACTACTACTACTACTACTACTACTACTACTACTACAACTTCTACTACTACTACTACTACTGATGATGCTGTTGCACCTGCTACTACTAATAGAATGGTGAAAATATGGGGGTGACTGCAGTCAAGCTAGTACACAGGAATTTCAGAGAAATTAGAAATTTCTCTGGAATTCTTACTACTAATAGAACTATTTCTGTTTCTTCTCAACTTCCTGTTTTGTCGCTTTGGATGTCCAGTGATATATAGTTCTCGCACTTCTTGACGCATCTATAACGATCGCTTGACACTGTTGTAGAGATCTTCAACAGATTGACACGCTGTTCTGTGGTTTATAGAAAGGCGCACCGATGTGTTCGCCTTTCGGTCGCACCGATGTGTTCGCCTTTCGGTCGCACCGATGTGTTCGCCTTTCGGTCGCACCGATGTGTTCGCCTTTCGGTCGCACCGATGTGTTCGCCTTTCGGTCGCACCGATGTGTTCGCCTTTCGGTCGCACCGATGTGTTCGCCTTTCGGTCGCACCGATGTGTGCACCTTTCAGTCCAACACAACCGAACTCAGAAAATCTTTAATTAGTCACCTTTTACGAAATGCTTGTTTAATGGCAGTGGGTCTCTCTCTCTCTACCCTCTTTCCCTCTCTCTTAAATTTATCATTAAAAAAAAAGTTGCAGTCATTATTTTCGTTTGATTTGCGCTGTACTTCTTCCATTATCATAAGTATACATTTATACAGGCTTGCATTCACCTATAAACATTTTATCTCGCCCCTGTTAAAAAAAATATCACATATGTTTCACTTCCTTGTCTTGTTTAATTAACGTTGCTAGTGTTTCATTGCGTCTGAATTTGAAATCACATTCTATTATTTTACTTCCTGTTGAAAAAAACCTTTTAAAGAGTTATAGCTTATTAAATGTTTGCTTTCTTTGTTATTTCAAGACCCCGTATTCTTTGCGTGTAGATATTTATCGTTTGATATTTATCGTTTGATCTGACTACACACTATCGAACCAGTACAATATATGAAACAAAACAGTATGCAATGTATGCATATACAGTTATATGCACCATGCAATGATAATTATACAGAAGAGCAGAAAGATGAATTCTTTGACGATCTGTCTGATGAGAAAGAGAAAGTTGAGGGAAGCAGCATACTATATGTAATGGGTGACTTCAACGGGAGGGTAGGAAATAACAGATGAGAATACGAACAATTTCTAGGTCCACATGCAGCTAAGAACAGTGATAGAAATGGAAATGGTCAAAGAATATTGGATCTATTCCGCCAGCACAATCTTTTTATTACGAACACATTCTTTGACCATAGAGATTCACAACTTTACACTTGGTACAAATGGAATGATGTCTCCATCAAGAGCCAGATTGACTTTATACTTACCAGAGTTCAAGGAAGAAGGAGAATTCTTGATTCAAGAGCAATCCCTAATGGTCTATGAGACACTGACCATAAAATTAAAGAAACACAGAAAGAAATTAACAAAAAACAAGGATCTCATCAAGATAGCAAATCTGAAAAAGGAAGGAGTAAAAGAACAGTTACAACAGAAAGTAGAGACAGCATTCAAACAACTTCCACATGTAGTTGGCAATATTGAAGAAGATTGGAGTAAATATAAAAGCACTATGCTTAGTATAGCAGAAGAATTATGTGGAAAACGGAAGAGTGGAAGCAGACGGGGAAATAACAAATATTCACCTTGGTGGTGCGAAGAAGTAAAAGACACAATTAAAAAAAAGGACTTATATAAACAGTGGATAAAATCAAAGAAAGAAGAAGATTATATAAACTATAGACTGCAAAGGAGAGAAACCAACAGGAGTGTCAAGAAAGCAAAACAAGCATCCTGGGAACGTTTCGGTGAGTCATTAGCAGAAAATGAGAAAACAGCCAGCAGAAAATTTTTCAAAGTAGTTAAAAATATGCGGAAAAGAGATGAGAGCTACAACCCCACTGAAATAATTAATGATGAGACAGGAAGGCCATTGATAGATCCACCCGAGATAGCAGAAAGATGGAGGGAATACTTCAATGAACTCTTTAATCCCCTAGGAGATCATCAGGAAAGAACAACTGAAGAGCACAGAGCAACAGTGTTAGAACCACACATACTAATGGATGAAATAGGAAAAGTCACTAAGCAGTCTCCCATATATAAAGCACCAGGAGCTGATAGATTACCAACAGAAATAATACAAACAGCAGGTGAAAGCAGCATCAGATGGCTCCACAGAATATTTAATGCAGCATGGGTACAACAAACTGCCCCTATTGATTGGCAACATGCAATAGTTATACTATTGTGGAAGAACGAATAAGGCAAACGAGAATGCGGTCAATACCCAGGCATCTCTCTTTTAAGCCATGTTGGCAAAATGTATGCCAAGATAATAGAAACAAGACTGAGACCAGTAATAGAACCACAACTG